CGGAATGTGTTTCAGGTCCCGAGAAAAATTAGAGATTTAGGGACTGCCCGTAGGCGCAATGTAAAGCCAATTTCAGACTCTGAAACAAGTAAGGATTTTTCACCTATTTTCTATCATGCTATTAAAGCTCAATAAATGATAAAACGGTGTTTCATGAATTGTGTATAATTAATAAGGTTGCTAATGGAGCCCGAAATCTGATGTATTTTTCAGTCAGTTGTTGTTTGATCTATTTTACAGTTTAAAATGTAGTATGGTATCTGATGTGTTTATTCTGTAGTTTCGTATGCATGAATCACGATTTCATTCATTATGGTTTAAATTATTGTGAATTCGATGTTGTGTTGTCTTGTTTGGTGTTCATTACTGGTTTACGTGTTTATGTTTGATTGGATAATTGAGACCAAGAAAAATGAAAAAAGGTATGTGAATTGATAAATGGATGATGTCGACAGCCTAACTAGGTATCCTAGGAGATGGTGGACGGACTGGGTCCGTAGGGAACCCTACCGGGAACGTAGTCTCTCATATCGGAGGGGGTATGGAGACCTTATGTGTTTTGGTCGTTTCACCCTCATAACTGACAGGGTATTGAGGTTTATGATTTTTGGCGCCCATACCGGACGGGATATGGGGACGGCCCTGAATCAAGTTATCAATGTGAATGGTTCACGTGTAGCGGGGACCCTTATGGATCCCCATGGATACTAGTAGGCTAATAAAAAAGAAAAATCTGTTGTCTGATGATTGAAATGCAAAGGTATGATATGTGTTATGTTATAAAGTGTGTATGATTTTGTGATATTATAATGTTATTGTTTTCTTATGTTGTTTTCATGAAGCTCACTGAGGTAAGTGGACAGTAAATGGTTTTATTATTGATAAATGAATTTATCATAAATTATGCTCCATTTATCGTTTTTGTTTTCTATCAACCTTTACTTCTGTGACAGTGAGATAGTGTGATGTCTTTACTGGGCTAGTGTAGCTTATTCTTTATTTAACTATTTCAGATCAGGAGGATTTGATTCCCGAACCTATCCCGCAGGAAGACGGCGAGTAGACGTCTAAGGATTTCATAGTTTTATTTATAGCATTCATTACTAATATTTAACTTAATTAGTTTATTCTTTCATACGTTGAATACGTTTTTGGTTATTGTGTAAGGGATGTTAATAAGAATTTTTATTTCGCTTCCGCACTTAGAACTTTTTAATACATACATTTTGTTTTTATTTCCGGGACCGTTACATAACTAGTATTAATATTTTAATTAATAATTCTAATACACTAAATATTTAGAGTAAATATTAGTTATCAAAACTTAAAATCTGATTTTGACCTTAATTTTGTAGTTAAGTGCTAACTTTGAGGGTGATATAAAATCTTTTTTTTTTTTTTTCTTCTTCCTAAATTTGCTTAATCTTGTTGACAATGGTGCTCCCGTTAGCACTTCCTTAATAGATATTGACGTCCCACTTTTTTATTTAAAAGAGAAAGGGGAAGAGCTAATAATAAAATTTAAAGTGTACATATCACTTATCTTCCGTTATCTTTAACCTACGTAATTGAACCCTCCAATTACAATTAGTTTAGTTGGCCTAACTCGTCTGTGTTTTTCTAATTGCGGTTTAGTTGGCTTAATTTGAGCATTTGATTACTAAGTTGAATAATTCTAAAGTGGCTTCTTTCAAAGTTAATTAGAATTGTTACTAAAAGAATATAAAATTTAAATTCTGATGGAAACAAATTTTGTAAATATATTGGGTTTGTATATAAATATATTTGTAAAAGTATTTTATATTTATTATTTAATAATTAAAATTAAAATTAAAACTTTACAAATAACTAGATTTAGTATGACTAATCATAACATTTAATTTAAAACTTGATATTAATAAATTATATTTTTAATTAAAGTAGAAAAGTGAATATTTTAGTAAAAAAATATTTTTATAGTTAATTTATATTTAAAGAGTTATAAAAATAGAATAAAATAGTTAAATTGGTGGGACTTTAGAGAGAAAAAAAAAAAAAAAAAACAAATTATTGAAAGGGAGAACGTGGTGGGGGCGCAAAAAATTTAAGTTGAAAAAAAAGGGTTGATCTTGGAAATTATCCTAACGTCTGGTTTCGGAAGGAATTTAGTATTTAAAAAACCCCCAATAAACCAACCGACGAAGAAAGCTTTTTCCAATTACGTGGGGGGGGAAATTTCTCTCTTTTCCATTCATCTTTTTTTTTTTTTTTTTTTCC